TTTAATAATTTTATGACTACTTTTAAATGTATTTTTGATACTGTCTGTACTGTCCAATAATAACATCTGAAGTAAAAAATAAAGAGTTAAAAAATCCATGGATGACGAGTAATCTTATAAAATTGTCTAAAAGAAAGCAAAAACTTTATATAAAATTTTTGAAATCAAAGGATGAAGGTGATGAAAAAACATACAAAGCCTATAAACAGTTTTTTCAAAAAAATATTAGACAAGCTAAAATAATGTATTATTCTAATCTGCGAAATAAAAATAAATTAGACATAAAATAACATATAAAAGAAGTAACTGTTAGAGAAAAAAAGAAATCCTTTAGCATACCTCAAAAAATATTTTATGACAATAAATATTGTCATAAAATAATAAATATTGTCATAAAATATTTTTAAATATTTTAATAATTTAATCTAATTTTCTCATCCAAAAAAAACTTTTTCATCAATAATATTTGAGACCAAGCATGACATACATTAAGAAAAATTTTTATTTTGTTAATACTAGGGACTTGTCTGATGTTTAATTCATTTTGATGTTTGATTCATCAAAGTTGTTATACTTGCAGTTTATTAAAAACAAAAATATAATAGTGTATTTTCATATTTAATGTAATGAACCACTGATAATGATAAAAAACAAAACGTTTGGTCAAAAATTACAGTTGCTCATGATGTTAAGGATGAGTCAACTACAAACGTATACTTACATTATTTGAGAAAAAAATCTTTTTTAATAATGTTTGTTTACAAATTTAATCCGCCATTTGTAAAAAGAGCATTAGAAAAAAATTGTAATAAATTAAAAAATATATATATATATATATATATATATATATATATATATATATATATATATATATATATATATATATATATATATATATATATATATATATATATATATATATATATATATATATATATATATATATATGTATAAAGAGAGAGAGAGAGAGAGAGAGAGAGAGAGAGAGAGAGAGAGAGAGAGTAAAACAGGGTAGAATGAAATAGTTATGACATGTTATGTTTATTCTTTTGCTCTTAATTAGATATTGAATAATTTTTTTGCAAATATTTTGTGATTATATTGTAGAGAGTATTTTTCTGAATAAGATTGTATAAAAATTTATTTTTAATTAAAAAAATTTTGTTATAAATTTATAAGTTTTCGAATGCGTAATAAGATTTTTTTTATTTGTTTGAAAAGGGAACTTTAAACTCCCGCAAATTAAATTCGGTATCATTGAACTTAAAATGTTTACTGGTACAACTTTTTACGCTGATCAAGAATCTTTTTTCAAAATTAAATTTGCTATTTAGGGAAAAAAGTTATGATTAAAAACGGAAACTGAGTGTTGCGGGGTTGAATGAAATACGCTAATAAATAAAAAACTACGAAGGAATAGCTTTTTTCTTAAAAGCGGCTTTTTTTTATTAGGTCTCAAGTGACCAATATATCTCCAACTATAAATTTTTGGTATAAAGTTCAATGAACGAATTTTTTTAACTGAATTTAAATGACTTTTACTTACTGCTTTTATAAAATGGTTCTAATAAATGAATGAAATTCGCTAGTTACTCTCTTGTTAATATGCTTACCAGCTCACTCGTCGCACATTCTACAGCCACTAGATGTTGGTGTTTATTGCCATGTCAAAAGAGTTTGGCGCAAATTACTTCAACAGTTTTATGCAGAGACAAAGTTTAGCAACTTATCGAAAGAATGTTTCAGTCACCTGCAAAAAAAAAACTTTTAAGCTCTGGTGAAGTTTTTACACGTACCCAGTTAGTCACTGGGTTTCAGAATACTGGCTTGTTTCCACTCAACATCGATAAAATTGATCTGTCAAAGTTGCAAATTTCTAATACATTTGAAACACCGAGACCTGAATCTAAGCCTTCATTATCTCAACAACCTGAATCTTTGGTAGTGCCATCACCAAATCAAGCACCAAGAACTACACTACCTCAGCCACTGCCCTCTGAATCTACACCAACAACATTTAGCATCAGCATATGTCACATAGCATCAGCTCCAAAGTCATCTCAAAAGTCACCTTGTCTGCAAACAATCTTTAATATTGTAGTAACTCCGGCTATTCAAAAGGAAATTCAAAAAGAGGTTGCAAAACAACTGTAACCAGCCCAATCACTTGGATTAGCTTTGCAACAAATATTTTGTATCCAACACGTTGACACAAAAAAAGAAAAAATGTAGATGTACCAAGATTCGAAGGGGAGTGTCTCAACAAACTTGAAATACTTGAAAGGTTGAAAGATGCTGGGAGCAAAAAAGCAGCAAAGCAAGCTAAAAAACAATCTAAGCTTAGCTCTAATGGAGAACAGCAAATAAACCAAGCAACAAGTCCAACGAAAATATTAGCTGCAATCAAATCCAAGTGTAAAAAGTGCTAAAAAGTTTTTTTTGGAGTTTTATACCCAAAAATGCTGAATCTTCTTTGATTTCCTTTTTTTTAGGTATTAAAGTAAAGAAAAAATAAATATATATAATAGTTATTATACCAGAATTTATATTAAAGTTTGCATCAATATTATATTAATGAAACAATATTATATTATTGTATTTTTATCAATCTGATACGTAATAATTTTGTATACATATACTTTCTTTTTTTCACTATAATAAATGTATATTTTATATGGTATACCTGGAGAAGAATAAATAAATAAATAATAAAAAAAACAACTACACCGAGCATTATTTTTTTTGTTTTTTTTTGTTAGTTTTTTTGTTTATTTTTTTTTTGTTTTGTTTTTTTTTTTTTTACATAAATTGTAGGTATACTACCCAATGGACACGGGGCGTAAAAAAGACGTCCTTTAAACGTCTTTTAAACGTCTTTTTAATGTTTTGAAAGTCTTTTTTGAATTCTGTGCCCACTGGGTATGTTTTGAGACTAAAAAATATATTGTAGGCAAAAAATGAAATAAAGGCAAAAAAAAAAAAAGAACTGTCTCCATACCGAAATACAGTTCTAATTTGCATTCGTTAAAAATTATTTAAACTTTAAACTATTTAAGTTATTTAAATGTTTAAAATTATTTAAATTTTAAATAATTTTTAACGATGAATGCAAATTAGAACATAATTTCGGTATGGAGACAGTATTTTTTTTTTGCCTTTATTTCATTTTTTGTCTATTATTTATATATTATTATATTATTTTATCATATAAATATTATATTGTTTCTATTTTTTATAGAAAAAGTATATTATTTTATATAATAAAATTTATGTTTATATAATAGTATCGGTTAAGTATATATAATAGTATCGGTTTCCAGATAAAGTAAAAGTTTGATTGCAGTTCGGAAATTTAATAACTTTCCTGCAATGTTTACCTGTTCAAGTGATGCAAAAGCAGAGTGCTGTGTGTTCCTTATGAGATTACTATGCAAATTTATTTAATTACCAGCAAGGGGTAATGTACAATTTTCTAACTGTCTTTTACCTGTGAAGAGAAACTCTGTTTTATCAGGGTTTAATTTTATGTAATTTGAGGTGCAGTATGAATTACAAGTTTTATATTAATTTTTCAAGACCAGAGAAACTTGAACTTAGAAGTATGATATCATCAGCATAACCCATAATGATATAGCATAATCACACCAGTGAATTTCCATATATAGACATACATAAGATTTTTTTATTTTAAAGTTTTCAAAAAGTGCGATAATGGAACTTTGTCAGTTCCATTATCGCATCGGAATTCTTTATAAAGCAAGAAATATATTTAGTTAACACAATAATGGTATTTATTTATATAAGGGTTGTTCAAAAGTTTGGTCATGGAAAAGTTTTCACTCACAAATAGACAACTTTATGCGACTATAATAAAGAAATGAAAAACTGTTTTTTTGTTTTTGTTTTTTGTTTTAATTATTTTTTTACCTCGCGCTAGGCAAGTTTTGTGACATCGGTTAGGAAGGAAGGGATGACCCTCCAATTAAATACTTATTCGTGGTGCTCTGTGATAAGACCGTAAAGACTTCTCAGGGCACCTTAATTTAAAAAAATTTAAAAAAAATTTATAGAAACATAATAATCAACTGTGTATATTTATTAAGTGTCTGAAAAAAAAGGGGGGCAGAGGCCTTTCTCGATCTTTTTGGTTATTTCTAATAATGAATCATTATTAGAAAATAACCAATAAGGATTGGAAGGTATTTAGCAGTATTAGCAAGAAAATAGAAACGTGTTTAGCAAGTAAAAATATGATTGCATCATCATTAATGATGCAATCATGTTTTTTCTGGTTAAAAACGTTTCAGTTTTCTTGTTAGTAATGATGAAATCTTGAAATCATAAAAAAGTTAAAAAAAGATTTGTTGAGTAATAATAAAAGATTTCTAGTGAGTTATAAGAGAATTTTTTTGTGATTTAGCTAATTTGTAATTCTCTTTGTTTAGTTTTATTATTTGTAAAAAGTTTTTTTAATTAAATGGCAACTGTGTAAGATTTTCATGTAAATCATTTAAATTGTTAATAGAATTAAAAAATGAAAATAAGAAAGAGCCTGTTGACAGTGATGGTGGTTGTTCCAGCTCTCACAAATCCAAAAAAAGCCGCCAGAGTACCAGAATGAAGAATAATTTTTTAGTAAAAAGTTGGCAAAAATGATGTCTGTTATGCATCCTCCCAAGATTGATGGTTTAAAGCACCTGCTGATTATCCAGAAAAAGAAGCCAAAAAACACAAAAATTGACATTTTTCCAAAAAACACAAAAATTACATTTTGATATCAAAATAGTAAAGGATATGATATGTCCTACTATTTTGATATCAAAATAGTAAAGGAAATGTCCTTTGCTTTGTCATATCCTTTACTATTTTGATATCAAAATAGTAAAGGATATGATAAAGCAAAGGACATTTCCTTTACTATTTTGATATCAAAATAGTAGGACATATCATATCCTTTACTATTTTGATATCAAAATGTAATTTTTGACAAAGGATTTGACAAAGCAAAGGACAAGATCTGAGTACTCTTAAGTTTTAATGGCAAAAATTATCTGCAAGGTGCACTAGGCATTGACTCTAGCACTGGCTTAAACCACTTTAATGCAATTAGTGACCTTTTGAAGGAGCTGGACATAGATAACAATGAAATAGCCAAATGCTAGATGCGTTGATATTATCACCAGCAATACTGGTAATCTGGGTAGAGCTATATACAGGTAAAAAAAGAATATATTTTTATAATCTAATTACTGACTGTTTTGTTTGAATTTTTAAAGTACTGTAGCAATTATGTAAGACTACAGAAATATTGATAGTAGTTTCACTGCGGTAAGTATAAAATGTAAGAACGCTATGTAGACTGAGATCTAATCTCTTACTGATGTTGACGTCACCACATAGAAGAGGTCCACATCAACCATTTCAAAAAGCCTAATGGATGCAAGGCCACTGTTGGTCCTAAAAATTTTTTTAGAATTTTTACTTTTAATTGTCTTTTTGTATAGTGTGCCTTTTAAAATTTTATCTTTAAATTGTTAAACGGAACAATATACAAAAAGACAATTCTAGTTTTTACATTTCTTAATAAAGTTTTATTATTACTTGGCTACAGACAGTACTTTTATTAAAAACTGAACATATATTGTAAAGGGTTTCATTATAAGATTCTCATGATCTTCTAGAAGTTCTGCCGTTGCTAATGTAAAAAATTGTAAAATATATCTGCTTAAATTAAAAATTATTTTTATAATAAATATCGCGAACAGTTTCTTTAGTTGTCTTTTGTTTTGACGAATTTATGACGTTTTCAATTTCAGCCTTATTGAAACGCTTCAAGTTTACATTGACAATACATATTTAGTGATTGACTGACTTATCTTAAGGAAAACAGTAGATCAAATTTTTAAAATAAAAATCAGAAAAAGTTCGGCATAGATACCTATTTATTATATAAATTAAAAAAAAAAAGATCAAAATAACAGTTGATTTTTACAATACAAGTGGTTTACATCTCATTAGTTACGTAACATTAATTAATTTTTCATGGTACCAAATAAAAAACTAATTACAAAATATATAAACTTAATAACATTATTTTATGTTGTTTTGTTTATAAACTTATACAATTATATTGTTTTTTTATTTAACTATTTAACGATGAATAAAGATACCTTTAAATAAATAAAACGACAAATAAAGATACCTTTAAGGTAATTATTTGAAAAACGTTGATATGCAGTTCAAGCAAGACTTGAATTCTTCGCAAGACAATGCGATGAACTCAAGTCTATCTTCTTTTGTTATTTTGCTTTTCAATTAGATCGAGAATTTGTTGAAGTAGTTTTTGGGCTAATTCCGGACTAAGCGTTTTCAATATTTCGGAGTTTAGAGTTTGTTTTTGCAATTTAGATGCAATCTCTTCGTTAGAAGGTTCTTTTCTAAGAATATCATTTCCATAATGTTGCCAAAAAAGATTTTTGAGTTCGTTCTTCTCGTTTTGGTTTTCCCTCAATTTAGTTTTTTTAATAATTTTATTATTTACGTCATTTTCCCAATTTTCTAAGTTGAGCGTATCAAAGAGATTTAATGTTTCGGTATTTTCTGCATCTGCTCTTTCTTTTAAAAAGTTAAGAACATCGTTATCAATTAGTTCTCGGTGGTAACTTGTTTCATCAGTAAGATCTTTTTCAATGTGAGAGTATTGAGAAAGATTATCAGACGGTTCGTTTTTTTCCGTAACGTAAAGAGACTCCAAGTCTTCTAAAATTTTGTCGACTTAAAAGAAAAAAATAATCTACAAAGTTACAGTATTTAAGTATTTTAAAAACAGTTATAATATAAAAAGTTAAAAAAAGCTTAAAAAAAGTTATAATATAAAAAGAATTTTGTAAATTTATAAAGTAATCATCTAATATACCAGAAAAAAAAAGGCTTTAATTTTAATGGATTTTTCTATAAATTTCCTTAGCTCATAAGTTGACTAGTTCATGCTCTTTTACTATTATAAAAAACACAACTAAAAAAATATAAAAAATGTTTTAACGTGTAAATCTTCTGAAAATTTTTTTTTTTTATATTAGGTATTTTTTATATTAGGTAAAAAAAAAGGGAGAAAAAATGGCTTTTCTTTTTAAAAAATATTCTGGGCAACTAATTTAGCCATCCCCAACCTTCAAGTATAATAAACATCCACAATATTGGTTTACCAATTACTTAACATTGGTTTACCATGAACATTATTTAACGTTTGCTTTCTTATATAAGAAAAAGAGCAAGTAGAAAATGAGCAAAATAAAGATTTCACTAAAAAAAGTTCCAGTAATTTTATTAACTTTACTTCAAAATAAAAATAAAACTGTAAAGGTTGCTGCTAATTTATAGAAACTAAATTTCAGTTATTTAATACATAATATCAGCTATATTTACTTACTTATATCCGACTGTCGAACTGCACATAAACATGGAAGTAAAAAGATTAGTACAAATCGCGCCATTTTTATCAAGCAATATATATATGCTCATACAAACAGTATTATGCAAAAGGATCTGCGTTTACTGATGGAAAAATTTAGAGTATTTATTACATTTGAGTTTATAATTCGAATTTAATGAGCTTATCAATACACATAATATGATAGTTCAATATTTGTACCATTTTATAAGTTTTTTATTTGTATTTTTTATGATTTTAGCACTTAGCTAATTAAAAAACAATACTCCTACATCACAGCAACATACCCACATTTGTTTCCATGACAATCTTTTAGTAGAGTGTCGTCTATAATTACCTTTCCAATTGTTGTACTTTGTGATAAAAATGTAATATTTGCTTTTGCTTAATTCAGCTTTTTTTTTTTAATTTTTTTTTATCATTTTTAATTGTTGCAATTTTTTATTTTTTTTTTAATTAAGGGTTCTATTTGAAACATGTTTCAAACAGTACCCTTTAATAATACATATATTTTTTATTTATTGCTTATTTTTTTTTTTGCATTTTTTTTTTTTGTAAATAATTATTTATCATACGATTTTGATACCAAACTTAAACACTAAAAAAATGTGTTTAAAAATAATACTAATACTGTAAATAAGTTTACTAGTAACTTTAGTTAAATTTAGACTAGTCAAAATATAGGATTAGACTGCGTTAAATCCGTATTTTTAAACCGTGTCAAATCCGCAGATAGAGACCGCGTCAAATCCGTTTTATTTTCAAAAGGCTCCGCGATATTTTATTTCTAACAATTATATGAACTTTGATGTGTGTTACAAATTGAAACAAAATAGGAGTTAAACGATAATAAAAATTTTTTTTTGTTCTTTTGTACAATTCCATTATAAGGTTTAGATATTTGCTTCTCCTATTTTAGAAAATACTTTCTTTATCTCCTCATAACAATCAACAAATAATATTGATCTTTTTTAAAGATTTTGTTTTTATTCTCTGATTTTTTTCCCCAATTATTTTTTCCTAAAAAATCTCATTTACACTTAAGTGAAAATGAGGCTTTTAAACTTCAAAAGTTGTTTCATTTTTAATGAAAGTTTAAAACTCAAAAAACTTAATAAAATAACGCAGATGATAGTTTTAGATTCCAGT